AGATGTGCTTCCAAATGTTATTTCTCCCTTGTGGGGGGACCTAAAACATAATGCAAGATATAGTCTAAGCAAAAAATTATGTTTAATGACTTAGAAGGTTTTCAGTCTGAGATCTTTAAATGAGAAAAAGAACTGGAATTAGTTCTGTGATTTGGATGTTGTATGAAGCGGCTTAGTTAATGTGTTTGTCACCTCCCTTGTTTGGCGATGTTTTGCCTCTTTGAACAGAGACAGCGTTGTTCTGAATAAACTTAGAGAACATTATCTTTGATACTGAAACTATTGAAAGACTTCTTGTTTTTTAAAAAGCAGGTGAATAACATAATTATCTGCAGTTCATTGCAACCTCCATTCCTCCAAGGTTAGGACTTATTTACAGTGAAATATGTGTCCACTATTAAGGATAAAAGGCATAAACCAGTTGTTCCTTTATCTCCAATGGCCTTTTATCTCAGTAATGAAAACTTGCTGCTTCAGATTTGTTGGAATTAATTAAGACCAATTTGGATTATGCAGTGGTTTTAGAGAAATACATCTTTTCTATGTAAGACTTTGGTAAATAGGTTTGGGGTACTTCTTTAGTTAATTAAATAATATAATTTGAATATTGATGTTTTCAGTACCTCTAAATGGTCAACATTTATTACATATTTACTAGAGACCAGTTATTGATATAAGAGTTTTTATATCTATTAGCTATTATTTAATCCTCGTGGGAGCCCTATAAGATAGGCATTGACTCCATTTTACCAACGAATAAACTGAAATTTAGAGAAGTTAATGTGCCTAAGTTCCCACAATTAGTAAGTTGGACTAAACTTGCCTCCAGTTATGTTGAATTTCTAAGTCCATGCTGTTAACTACTACTTTATATGCTGCCTTTTGACCTATGGATTACCATCACAGTTTTCATCTCTAAATTTGTTTTACCATGTGCTTATTAAAATTTTTTGCTATCATTTATTAAGCACATATCGTATACCAGGCAAAGAGCTCTGGTGGCCCAGTGGTTGAGGCATTTGGCTGCTAACCAAAAGGTTGGTGTTCAAACCCATGGGAGAAAGATGAGGCAATCCATTTCCATAAAGATTTACAACCTTGGAAACCCTATAGGGGCAGTTCTATTGTTTTTGTTGTTATGTGCTGTTGAGTTGGTCTTGACTCATAGTGACCCCTCCTTGGGTTTCTGAGGTGGTATCACTACGGAAGTAGATTGCCCAACCTTTCTTCCGAGGAGTGGCTAGTGGGTTTGAACCACCAGCCTTCTGGTTAGCAGTCAAGTGCCTTAGGCACTGTGATACCAGACCTGTCCTATAGGGTCTCTATGAGTTGGAATCAATTCACCGGCAGTGGGTTTGGTTTGATTTGTATATATCAGGCAATGTCCTAGGTGCTCTAAGTACATTATCTGTACTATCCCTTTTAATCCTGACAACAACCCTGTCCATAGGTTTTATTATGTCTTACTTAAAGGAGGAGGAAACTGATTCAGAAAAGGAAAGTAATTTCCTCAACATCACAGCTAATAAGTGTCAGAGCCGAGCTCTTGAACATGGTAGGGAGAATAGTCTCTGAGAGTCGCCTAGAGCATGGTGGGAAGCATGGGCTAAGAAAACCTCTCATTAATGACTCCCATCGCTTGGAAAGGCTCCAGAATATGAAGTGGGCAGTGTGTGTGCTCTGGAACGGAAGCCAGAAAGTGCGGTGTACTTGGATGGTCTCTCAAGAGTCTGGCTGGGCTCTTCTTGTATGATCCTTACTTACTTTGGCCTGTCAGAGGATCTTGGAGACTTCTTATGCATAGCTGATAGTTAAGGCACTGACCGACCATTGTGAGGTTGGTAGATACAGCAGCCCCAGGGAGTTCTCAGAGTGGAAGCCAGAATTGTGCAAATTCTACAGTTGGTGCCCAATCAATTTACTAGTAGAAACAGAGCAGATTTGCAGATGACGTACACCATTTGGCTACCAGTCTGCCGAGGGTATAGGAGTTTTGATAGCCTTGAGCAGTGGGGCTTTATATCATAGGAAGACAAATTGAGGGTTAAGATGAGGCTGGAGTTCAGGTAGTCAAGTAGTTTGTGGATGAAAACATTCATTCATTTATTTAGTATTTTTGAGGACTTAGTATGGTTCAGGAAGGATTCTGGGCATTGGGAATACAATAAAGAATACGACAGACAAAGCCTGCCAGAAAGAGCTAACATTCTAGTGGGAAGACACAAGACAAAAACCAAACACATACACATCCATGTTACATCAGGTTGTAATACATGCTATGAAAATAATAATAATAATAATAAAGGTGAGTTAAGAGGAATACAAAGATGGGGTGGGGTAAGGGTTATTATTTTACCTAGGTGGTCAGAGAAAGCCTCTATGAGGAAGTGACACTTGAATGGAGACTTGAAGGAGATGAAGGGCATGCCACGTGCTAAATTCTTGGAGATAAGAGCTTATTGATAGTTCAAGGAACAGCAAGGAGACCAGTGGCTGATGCAGAGAAAGAGAGGAATAGAATGGCTAGGGATGAGCTGGAAAGGTAGACTTTGTTGGCAGTGGTGAGGGCTCTGGATTTTACTCAGAATGAAATGGGAAGCCCTTGACAAAATTTGAGCAGGTGATTGCTATGCTATGATGTATAATTTTAAATGTCCTTCCAGTTGCCATTTGGAGGGAGGCAAATGTGGAAGAAGGGTGATAAGTTTAGCAGTTACTGCAGTAGTCCTTGGAGAAATGATGGTGGCGTAGAATAGGTGGGTAGCAGTGGAGGTGCTGAGAAGTGGACCTGGTTAAACACTGAAGGAATTAACAATAGGATTTGCTATTGAGTTGCATGTGGGATATGAAAGAATGGAGTCAACAACTCCAAGGTTTTGGTGTGAACAACTGGAAGAATAAGTTGCCCTCTACTGAGAGCTGGAAGGGGTAAGTTTTTTTTGGAAATAAAAGTTTAGTTTGGTGTGGCTGGCATTACAGAACCCAGGATCAGGATGAGAGTGGGTGGGGTTGGACCACAAGCTTCCCTTCCAAGACATAAGTAAAGGAGAACTGGTTTTGAGTCCTGCATGAGAAGGAGGGTGGCAAGCAGGAGAAAGTCTCAGCATTACCAAGCACAAATGTGATCTAAGACAACAGAAAACATTCGACTAAGTAAGGAAGAGTGTAGAAGAGACAGGAGTCTTCTCAAGGAACCTGTATTGTGGAAAAAAGGAGCCACTAGGAGCACCAGGAATTCAGGAAAAGTAGACAGTGGAAATTGTCAGCAAGGTCTCTAGGAAGAGGTAGGGCCTGACCAAGCTTCAGAGGAGGGAGATGAGCTTGGAATACAGAGGTAGAAGGGGAAAGAGGAGAAGGGAGCAGGATGCAAGACAGGCACCTGAACAGAACACAGAACTGGGAATAATCATGATTTGACTGAAAACCACTCTGAGGACAAGAAGGGGATGGGGTAGGGAGTTGAACTAGAAAATTAGGATAAATCTGTATTATGGAAGGCTTCAAAAGATTAAAGCTGGACAGAGGAGTCTGATGAAAATGTGCAGGAGTGATTGAAGGATTTGTTGTTATGTGCCGTCAAGTCAGACCCAACTCATAGTGACCCCTCCTTGGATTTCCGAGGCAGTATCACTACGGAAGTAAATTGCCCCATCTTCCTTCCAAGGAGTGGCTGGTGGGTTTGAACCGCCAGCCTCCTAGTTAGCAGTCAAGTGCCTTAGGCACTACGGATAGGAACCTGCAATACAGCTTATGTGTAACACTTTCATTTTCATTTTGCATCTTTTCTTGAAAGTAAAAGTAGTTCCATCTTCACTTTCATATTCTCTTCTACCTCTTTACTCTTCTAACCATAAAACTTGCACATCCAGACCTAAGCAAGAAAAATACTTGACCCCCTTTGGTCAAATGCCTTAGGCACTAAGCCACCAGAGCTCCTTCTCAATAAGCTTATGTTCCCACTACAGCACATCCTTTTAAATTTTTTCCTATAATACTCTGGTTGCATAGTGCCTAAGGCACTTGACTGCTAACCGGAAGGCTGGCGGTTCAAACCCACCAGCCACTCCTCGGAAAGAAGGTTGGCAATCTACTTCTGTAGTGATACTGCCTCGGAAATCCAAGGAGGGGTCGTTATGAGTCAGGGCCGACTCAACAACACATAATAACAACAACAACAACAACGACTAGACTGCTCAAAAGCTTCTGTTTATTCTTAATCCCAGGAGATACCTATTTTTACAGGCAGATGGAGGATTTATTATTAATATAAATTAATATTATATATGTTGTTGTTGTTATGTGCCGTCGAGTCAGACCTGACTCATAGCGACCCCTCCTTGGGTTTCCGAGGCAGTATATACCATAATAAGGCGTTATAGTTACAAATTTAATATTTATCATAATGTATTCATGCTAATATTTACAATCTAGGCATACATTATATATTTATACATATACACTCTTATGGAGGAGTCCCTGGGTGGTTAAACAGTTAAAGTGCTTAGCTACTAGTCAAAAGGTTGATAGTTTGAACCCACCCACAGATGCCTTGGAAGACAGACCTGGCTATCTGCTTCCAAAAGGTGGAAACTCTGTGTTCTACTCTGTACGTATGGGGGCGCCACAAGTCCAAATTAACTTGATGGCAACTAACAACAACAAGGAGAAGGAAGGCTCTTGTAGACAGTACTATCAGATTAACTATCTGTCATTGAGTTAAATCACTTACAAAATTTCAAATTTGCAGTTGCATTATTATTATTATTGGTTAGAAGAAGAGGACTCTGTTCAGTTCAGAACTAGGTCTTTTTATTAGGTTGTATCAGACTAATCACTTTACCCCACTGAGCTTTTCATAGGTTAAAAGAATATAAGGGAATATTTATGTCTTCAGATCTTTTCTTTGTTTTTCAGTATTATTCTATCGTTCTTTTTGTGTATGTTCTTTTAAAATAAATTTCCAGTGAAAACTGCCATAACCAAAATAATCTGATTTACAGATTATGGATGATTGGCCAGGGTATGACTTGAATTTATTCACATACCCACAGCACTATTATGGAGATTTGGAATATGTTCTCATACCTCATGGCATCATCGTGGACAGGTAAGTGATGTGTCAGTCTTGATCTTGGGTTGAGCTAGTCCTCTGTGTGAATCACACAATATACTTTATGACTCTATTCAGGTTTTTTTTTTGTGTGTGTGTGTGTGATTTGGGTGAAAGTTTACACAGCAAATTCACTTTCCATACAGCAGTTCACATACACTTTGTCTCATGACATTGACTACAATTTACCACAATGCAACAGCTCCCCTCCCACGTCCTCCCCATAATCACCTCTTCCCAGTGTCCTTCCCTCCATGCATTCCTGACCCCTGAGCTGTCTCCCTGTGCATTCACAGCCCTTCTATTCTCCCATGATTGTTCTCTCCAAGGAGTGTATCTACCTAGTGTAAATGTTCACTTCATATGGCTGTCTTTTGTTTGGCTGGAAGCCACAGGATTGGGTTCAATTCCAGACCTGAAGGGCAGCTAGGGACCATAGTCTCAGTTGTTCCATCAGCTCTATCAGACCAGCAAACCTGGTCCCTTTTTTTTTTTTTCCAAATGATTTTGAGTTTTGTTGCACATTTTTCTCCCACTCTATGCAGGATCTCCTACATAAATCCCCCTCCAAGTGGTTGACAGTGGTAGCCAGGCACCATCTAGTTCTTCTGGTCTCATAGTTGTATAGGCTGAAGATCGTGTGGTGTACCAGTCACTTGGACTAATTGTTTCCGTGAATCTTTGGTTTTCTTCATTCTTCTTTGCTCTGAATGAGAGAGACCCACCATTACATCAAGATGGTTGCTTGCAAGCTTTTAAGATCCGAGTTGCTACTCACCAAAGTAGGATGTGGAACAATGTTTTGTGTTGATGTTATGCCAATTGAGCTTGATGTGCCCTGCAACTTTGTATGACCCTATTCTTAAATAGTAAATTAGAAATAAAAAGGAGTTTATGCTTTAATTGAACTGCTTATCTGGACATTTGTTCAAGGGCAAATGGTATGAAGGCTATATACATATGTGAGGTAATATAAGCAACAGCATCATATATCAACAATGCCCTGTACAAACTGATAAATATGGGATTTGGGAAAGCATTGCTTCTCACCGAAGGATGTTTGTTTCATGCTTTTCATTAACTCTTAAATTCAAACCAGGGAGAGTCAAGAGGTGACCTTTACCTTCATATAGGACACTCCCCTAAAACTCTGGCTTTTATTGCAGTTTTCGTTCTTCTCAGACCAAATACAGTAATGTATCACACATGGGCTGATCTGTATACAATGTTTTCCAGCAAATGGTAATGATATGGGAATAAGAGTATTTGCAGTTTAAAAATATCTGCAGAGTACTATTTCTAGTCCATTCTGGCCTATCTACATAGATATCCTCCCTGGTGGTGCAATGACTATTCTTGGCTGCTAACTGAAATGTTGGCATTTCAAACTCACCAGCTGCTCTGCAGGAGAGAGATGTGGCAGTGTTTCAGTGAAGAGTACAGCCTTGGAAGCCCTCTGGGGCCATTCTACCCTATCATACAGGGTCACTATAAATTGGAACCAGGGCTTTGAACCTGTTCAAAATGGTTCACTCATGGCCAGTAGAAGCAGGAACAGCATATGTGTTGCATAGCAACCAAATTTTTTGTGTTAGATTTTGAACTGAGTAGAAAACAGACAGCAATGCCCCACTCAAAGATGGTGGCTGACACACATTCAAAGTGGTGCAAACACCATCTTTGAGCAGGGTGGATCAAAATCCAATGCACAGGGCATTTGGTTGCTTTGCAACACATACACTGCCCTTGTTTCCATCAGCCATGACTGAACCACTTCTAACCCATTCAAAGCCCTGACTGGAACATATAATAAATAACAATAACATGACTGAAATAGACTTCTGGGAACCTAACAGCAAGAACAAATTTCTAGTCCTTTCTGCCTATTAACCTAGATATCCTCTGGCTTTTTTCTAGCCCACTTTCCTATAGCCAACATTTTTTCTCCTTTCCTTAAGCCCCTATGCTACCCCGATTTGTCTCTTGGTTTTCAAAGTGTCTCCTCCAATTCAATCCATGATAGCATCTGCATTTATAAATCATGGCCCTTTAACAAAACTGCCTTAAAGCCGAGGCTATTTATTACTTTTCCTTGTACCCATAATTTCTTGCACAAAGGTCAGATATTTAAGCCTTCATTGACATTTATATGGAAAACAAAGGTGCTTCTAGGTCCATGATTTTCCCACTGCACTCCAAAGAGTCATAGGGATTTTACACATGCTCAGAAGTTAGGACAAGGGGGGCAGTGGGGAGAAGGAGATGATTGAGACTTTGGACTGCTTACTCCAACCCATTCCTTAAACTTACACTGAGCTACTGCCTTAATTTTTTTTCCTTAATGTTATATTCTTCTGAGGTAAGATTTAACTTTATGAAATAGGTCTTCAGCCAATGGAAAGTTTGAAACACAGTAGATGGTCACTATGCCTAGGCTACTATCTTTCCATTAATTCCTCTTTGTGAGCAAAAAGAAAATGTCATTCAAATACTAAGATTTTCCATTGGCTAAGCCTTGTATAGTTCTTATCCTCTCAAATTATAGTATATTACTAAAATTAGGTCTACTTTGAGGTTTCTCATGACTTGAGGTGGCTTTCCCATGGAATAGAAATTCTGATCCTCAGAGGAAACAGAAGCTTCCATGATCAAATAAATTTGGGAAATTTTAGATTTCCCAAATTGCTAAATTTTCCTGTCGGCAATTCAAAAAAAACATTAGCATATTGAAAATTCCTGCCCTCCTCTGCTGAAAAGGAAAATGTCCTGCTTGGCTTTAACAATTAAGCCAACTTTTTTTGTGCAATAGGAAACTTTATTCTTAGTTCACCTCTTAATAACTCTCTGAAGAGTTTTCCAATGATAACAATTTGGGAACCCCCGATTTAAAGAAATTCCAGCTTTACTTATTTGAACTTTATGACTTAATGCATCCTGATCCAGTACATGATTAGTCCTGGGTGAGGTTGCCCTGTGCTGGGTGCTTGAGAATCCTCTGGTGAACTTGTTAAAATACACATTCTTAGGCAACTGTACTTAAACACATGAAACAATTAGAAAAAATACAAAGACAGTTCCAAGTTAGATACCAAATGCCAATCAAAGGCTATTCACAGTTGTCCAAATCCATACAGCATCATTCACATTGTTACATGCAAATGGCATCCACTGGAACTGTACTCTGGGCACCTTTCACATAGGTAACACATTGTTTCTGTCAAAGATAAGACAGGTATTATCATTTCCCCCCCAGTACTCCAAGTAAACACCAAAACCAAACCTGCTGCCATAGAGTTGATTCCAACTCATAGGGAGCCCCATTGGTTTTCCAAGGCTATAAATCTTTATGGAACTAGATTGCCTCATCGTCCTCCCATGGAGCATCTGGTGGGTTTGAACCGCCAACCTTGGGGTTAGCAGCTGAATACCCACTATGCCACTAGAGCTCCTTAAGGATTTTAACATATCAATTTCTTAAATAGGACCATGTATGTTAATAAGAAAGTGAAGCATAACTTACATTTTTAGGAAAGGCAGAGAATTACATTACAAATACACCTAACAAAATTTTGTTTATATCTGTAAATAATTTTATTTTCATTTTGGATTTTCTATTATATAGTTTTCCTATAGCACAGATAAAATCAGTAATTGCTATAATAGCCCATCAAGTGGCCTTTCTCTTTCTCAAAGAAAAAGGTTACAGTTTCTAAAATGGTCTTCACCATGCATATTGCCAAGAAAATGGTACATAGCTTGAATTGTTTTAAGGTTTTTAAGTTACATAGGGAGAACATCTACACTAAATTTAGTTTGGGTCTTTAGATAGTTTTGTTTTCATTTAAACATATCTCATGCATTTAACATACAGAGTCACACATTTACATATTTTATTTTAAACTTTTAAAATTCACAAGTAGTATCTTTTGACAGTTCCTTGACTTTTCCTCCAAAACCCATAAACTAAACCCGATGCCATGGAGTCAATTCCAACTAATTATGACCCCCCTATAGGACAGAATGGGAGCTCTGGTAGCATAGTGGCTAAGACACTTGCCTGCTAACCAGATGGCTGGCGGTTCAAACCCACCAGCCACTCCTCGGAAGGAAGGTTGGGCAATCCTACTTCCGTAGTGATACTGCCTCGGAAACCCAAGGAGGGGTCGCTATGAGTCGGGTTTGACTCGACGGCACATAACAACAACAACATAGGACAGAATAGAACTGCCTCATAGGGTTTCCAAGGCTGTAAATCTTTATAGAAGCAGACCGCCACATCTTTCTCCCATAGAATAGCTGGCGGGTTCGAACTGCCAACCTTTTGCTGTTGTGTTGTTGTTATGTGCCATCAAGTCAGACCCGAGTCATAGTGATCCCTCCATGGGTTTCCGAGGCAGTATCACTACGGAAGTAGATTACCCAACCTTCCTTCAGAGGAGGTGCTGGTGGATTTGAACCGCCAGCCTTCTGGTTAGCAGTCAAGTGCCTTAGGCACTATGCTACCAGAGCTCCTAAGTTGGGTGGGTGAGTCATTCCCCTTTTCATTTTTCTCTGCTATAAAATGAACATAATATCACCAAATACCATCATAACTTTGTTCAGATTAACAAAGAGGCTCTATAGTTTTAAAATAAGATTTTTTTAAGATGATTTTGGATTTTATATTTTACACCATTATCCTTTTTGTGACAGGACCAAGAATATACTGTAGATGGTGTGATGATCAGAGTGTGTTTTGAGCTCTCTTTGTCCAACCTCAAAAAAATCTCCATCAGTAGGTTTCTGTCTCCCAAATTCTTTTCCACATTCACCAGCATTATCTAGTATGTTTAATATGTCATTCATTTTTCTGAAAGGAACAAAAATACAAGTAGTAGTGCTTTAATCTACCTTTTATCCTCTGCTTCTTTCAGAATTGAACGGCTGGCTAAGGATATTATGAAAGACATAGGATACTGTGATATTATGGTCCTGTGTGTACTTAAAGGAGGTTACAAATTCTGTGCTGACCTTGTAGAGCACCTTAAGAACATCAGCCGAACTTCAGATAGATTTGTCTCTATGAAGGTTGATTTCATCAGACTAAAAAGTTATAAGGTAAGTTACTGTATATTCCATTTTAATCCTATGAAGTTTAGAATTAGCAGTGTGATAGAATAAAGGAACTAACAAGGTTATGAAAAAATGAAAGTGTAAATTTTTTTAAAAAATTTTGCAGGAATACTGCAATGTGTCATTTAAATAATATTCTTTGAGATAAAAAAGAAAAAAAAAAACATTTTCACATATGTGAAAAGACATTTCAGGAATGCATCATACTTTCTTTTATGGTTATATAACCGAGTAGTTATTTCCTGGTGCCTCACCTCATAAATGAATGTCGTCAGCCTTAAGAAAGTCCAGTGAACACGGCATTGTTTTTGTCCTGGTTACCACTGTTGGCCCTGGAGATCTGTAGGAGGATGTCCAGCCCAGAGAGGATATATTAGTACTTGGGTGGTCCACAGTCATGACACAGAGGTAGAAAGAGGAAGGACCCTGTAGAGACAGTAAGCTATCAAGTTTGATGAGAAAAGATAGTGGAACTTCCAACAGAAGACTCCTCTACCAGTTTTTGGTGAACTTTCTGTGACCACCACTGAATGGAATTGAGGGATTATTTTCTGAAGAGGAACCTTGGTGGCACAATGGTTAAAGCACTGGCTACTGACCAAAAAGCTGTGGGTTCAAACCCACCAGGCACTCTGTAGGAGAAAAGACCTGGTGATCTGCTCCTGTAAAAATTTACAGTTGAAGAAACCCAATGGGGCACTTCTACTCTGCCCTATATGGTCACTATGAGTTAGAATTTACTTGGAGGCACACAACAACAACATTCTCCAAGGTCATGAGGCATTGGTGGTTCAGTGGTAGAATTCTTACTTTCCATGCAGGGGACCTCGGTTCTATTCCTGGCCAGTGCTCCTTATGCATAGTCACTACCTGTCTGTCACTAGAGACTTGCATTTTGCTATGATGCTGAACAGGCTTCAGTGGCACTTCTAGACTAAGATGGACTAGGAAGAAAGGCCTGGTGATCTACTGAAAATCAGCCAGTGAAAACCTATAGATCATAAAGATCTGATCTTCAACCAGTTCTATGGAAGGCATAGGACCAGGCAGTATTTTGTTTCATTGTGTGTGGGGTTGCCATGAGTTGGGAATTGGGGGCTGACTGGATGGCAGCTAACAACATTTTCCAAAGCCATTGTCTCTTAATCTTCCTCTCTTCTCTCTATGATGTTACCTTTGTAATGCTTTTTGATTCAATGTATAGTATATCATTAGAATCAGCTTACTCTTGAGTGAAGATACGTTGGAATCAAAATCATGAAAGTTGTCTCATTGATTAAACTAGCTTGATGCATTTTAATTAATTAATCATTCTTTTATTGGCTTTCTATTACTATATTTTTATGCAGATAATCCACATATTATACGATTTTTGGCAAACTGCTCAACCCCTTCGTGTTAGTTTCTTATTCGTGCTCTGCATGTTTTATGTATGCATGTTATTTATGTGGGTGCTTTCTATGCAGAAAAATATATGGTATTGTGTAACAAGTCACCACAAATTTAGTAGCTTAAAACAACACACATTTTTTAACTCACAGTTTCTGTAGGTTAGAAATCTGGACATAACATAGTTGGGTTCTTTCTGCAGTCTTATAAGGCTGAACTCAAGGTGTTAGCTGGGACGTTGATCTCATCTAAGGCTTGGGGCTGTTTTTTCCAAGGTCACTGGCATTGGCAGAATTCAGTCTCCCTTTCCTTGGTAGCTAGAGGCCAGGGACTGTTCTCAGCATCTAAAGGTTACTTTCCAGTCCTTAGCTGGTGGGCTTTCCTATAGGCAATTTGCAATGGAGGTATTGCTTCATCAAGGCCAGCAGGAAGGGCTTGATTAAGTCAGGTTTACCCAGGATAATCTCCCTTTTGAGGAATTCAGAATCAACTGACTACTTACCTATATGTGAGAGTATTTCCATCATATTTACAAGTCTTACCCACACTCAAAGAGAAAGAATTATAAAATTTATAATAATTTCACACTTTAATTTTATAATTATGATTATTTGGCTTCTTTGTTGAGGTGTTTGTTCCAATGCTTTGCTCATTTTAAACATTTATTTTTTTATTACTGAGTTTTAAGAGATACTTATGTATTTGGATACAAACTCTTTATTAGTTAAGCATTTTGAAAATATTTTTTCCAGTTGTTTTTTTTTTTTCCATTTCTGTTGCAGTGATTTTTAAAGAGAAATATTTACAGACTTCATAAAGTCTCATTTATTGATATTTTTCTTTGTGAATCATGCATTTGGTGTAAATTTTAAAACTTTTGCCTAACTTAAAGTCACAAAGATTTTATTCTATGTTTTCTTTGAGATATTTTATAGTTTGAAATTTTTTAATTTTTAATTTTTTACTATTTAGCATAAGGTATGAGTCAGGTTTCCTCCTTCTTTATTTTTTGCATGTGAGTGTCCAATTTATCCAGGATCATTTGCTGAAAAGACTGCACTTTCTCCATTGAAATGACTTTGATCTTTAATTGATAACCAACTGAATATATATGTGTGAGTCTTTTTCTAGACACTTTTTAAGGTTCTGTGCTTATCCTTTTGCCATTATTATACTCTTTTGATTACTGTAGCTTTTTAATAAATCTTGAAATTTGGTAGTATGAGTTTTCCAACTTTGCTTATCTTTTTCATAACTACTTTGACTATTCTAGTTGTTTACTTTTCCATGTAAATTTTAAAATGTTGTCACTTAGTATAAAACACCCCATTAACAATTTGAATTGGGATTGCTTTGGTGCTATACCTCAATTTGGGAAGACTTGACGTCATAACATTATTTGTTTTCCAATCCCTGAACATTTATTTAGATATAGTTTAATTTCAATGTTTTGTAATTTTCATCAGTCACACCTTAAACTTAGTTGGTTAGATTTATACCTAAATATCTTATGTTTTTTGGTCCTATTATATTTGATGAATTCTTTCTTTTAGTTTATTGTCCAATTATTTATTGCTAGTATATAGAAACAGAGCTCTGGTGGTGTAGTGCCTAAGGCATTTGACTGCTAACCAGAAGGCTGGCAGTTCAAACCCACCAGCCACTCTTGAGAAGGAAGTTTGGGCAATCTACTTCCATAGTGATACTGCCTCGAAAACCCCAGGAGGAGTCTCTATGAGTCGGATCCCCCTCGACGGCAGTGAATTTGTTTATTTTAGTTTAGTATATAGAAATATTATTGATTTTTTTTTTCCTTGATGTAGGTTAGTGGTTCTTTTTTTTTAATTTTATTTTGATTTGGGTGAAGATTTACAGAGTAAATTCACTTTTCATACAGCAGTTCACATATACTTTGTCTCATGTCAT